ATTCCGAGCGATAAGGCGGACATGCAATGCAATAATTTTTGTTTCGTCTAACAAATTTGATGAGATCGTGTAAACCTTCTCCATCAAGCGTCGATGAATCTAATAACATCAACTGGTCTGGCGTATAATGGGTATCAACCAAATCAAATTATAGACGCTCGCCATACTAAATTTAATTTCTTAATCCGCTCAAGAGTTGCTGCTGAATTGGCAAGCTGATGATGGAACTTTGAATATTCAGAATTGAATTTTCGCGATTAAAATAATTGGCTACTATCTCAATAAAAGAAAATAGAGCACTTGAGTGTTTTTTTTTTCTTCTCATATATCTTCATAACTTCCCCTAACTAGTCTCTGCATCAGGGACCTGGCAGTTATTAAAGTTTCGCTGGGAAAAGAAAGAGTCAGGGTGGACCTTGTAGTCTGCTCTTCCTACTTTCCAATCGATATCGAATCTCCTCCTCCGGCCGTCATTGCAGTCTCAAGGTACTGTGAAAGCTCGGGGCTCCCTCTGCTCATAGCCTGCGACTCTAATTCGCACCACGGCCTATGGAGCTGCAGAGACGAGAACCCCAGGGGACGCCCTCTGGCTGGCTTCCTAAGCTCCAGCGGCTTGACGATCCTTAATCGCGGAACCGTCCCTACCTTTTACTGCAACTGTGGCCAATCGGTGATTGACCTAACCCTCTGTTCACCAAATATTGTGAACCTTTTTAGAGCATGGAGAGTGTCCCTGGAGGTCTCAATGTCGGAACACAGGCACATTCTCTTCGAGCTGAATAAAGACACCAGCTGCGACAACCTAGTCTTTAGAAATCCGAAGCACAACAAATGGGACCTCTTTCAGGAGGAGCTCACAGGTGAGCTCTCGGATATGCCGGCAAGGTATAACCTTCCAGCCGACATTGAGATTGGGATAAACAAACTTTCCAGCGCAACTCTCTGGGCATACGAGGGTAGCTCTCCACTAAGACGGAAACCCCAAAATGCAAATAATGTCTGGTGGAACCACACTACGGAATTCCATAGGAACATCACGCGCCGGCTCTTAAGAAGGGCTGAACGGTCCAAACTTGTCGCCGACTGGGAAGCGTTTCACGCAGTACAAAAAGGCGCTCAGGGATTCCAAAAGACAGAGCTGGAGGCAATACTGCGGGGATGTTGAAAAAATATCCCCAGCAGCTCGCCTCTGCAAGGCTCTGTCAAAGGAACCCGGTAGTAGAATAGGGTCACTGTCTCTTCCGGGCGGTGGCTTCACGACCAACGAACAGGAAACCCTGGAGGTCATGATCCGCACGCACTTCCTGGGCTCCAGTTCAAAAAACGCTGTCTTGGTTGGCGTTCGGGCCCCGATTAGCGCTGGGCACGACACCGCCAAAAAAGTAGTAAGTTATGAGAGGGTGATATGGGCGATTAAGTCCTTTCCCCCCTTTAAATCTCCTGGTAAGGATGGAATCCACCCTTGCCAGCTGCAAAACGCGTCGGATATCATCACTGTCCACCTGGTAAAAATCTTCAGATCTTGCCTCGCTCATGGATACATTCCAGAGCAGTTAAGAGAGAGACGACCTTCACGTCTTCATTTCGAAAACCGGACGGAGCGTCTACTCCGACCCAAAATCGTATCGACCCATTAGCCTCACTAGTTTCCTGCTCAAGACTCTGGAGAGGCTACTGGACCGGTATGTGAAGGAAGGCATACTGGTTTCCAGACCTTTACACACCCAACAATACGCCTATCAGACTGGCAAATCCACAGAACTGGCGTTGCACCACCTGGTCAGGAAGGTGGAAGGAAATCTGGTGTGTGGAAGGGCCAGTCTGGCGGCATTCCTTGACATTGAAGGGGCATTTGATAATATCCCTTTCAACATCATCTGCGGAGCGCTCGAAGGGCGTGGCTTAGAGCCATGTCTGGTGAGATGGATAGAGGCCATGCTCTCGCAACGCCGAGTGTCCGCAGAGCTTAATAATGCGGTGGTTAGAGCGGTGGCCGCCAGAGGCTGTCCGTAGGGCGGAGTTCTATCCCCGATTCTGTGGTACCTGGTGGTACGACCTGATTACTAATCTAAACAAGGCACGCTTGTATACTCAGGCCTATGCCGACGATCTGGTTATCCTTTGTCCGGGTAAGGACGCCGTCTCGGTGCAGGGCCCTATGGCAAGGGCTCTGCGCATAGTGGACCGGTGGTGCCTTACGGAAGGACTCAGGATAAACCCTAATAAGGCGGAGCTCCTACTGTTCTCCAGGAGACGCAACTTCGGCACACCGCCCAACATTTCTCTGGGAGGTGTGACTCTTTAATACTCCAGGGTGGTTAAGTATCTAGGCGTGATGCTAGATTCTAAACTGTCCTGGTATGAACACGCAGAGAACAGGATGAAAAAGGCTACCTGTGCCCTTTGGGCATGTAGACGGGCCTTTGGTTGCACCTGGGGTCTCTCACCGAAGATCCTTTACTGGATTCATAACTCTATAGTTAAACCCCTTCTTACGTACGGAGCCATCGTTTGGTGGCCTTGCACGGATAAAGCCAAAATACGGGCGCAACTGGACAGAGTCCAGCGCCTTTCCTGCCTCAGCATAATGGGGTCCATGCGTACGGCCCCAACAAGGGCCCTGGAGACCCTCCTAGGTCTCCCGCCTCTGGACCTCGTGATGCAGTTCGAGGCCATGAAGACAGCCTATAGACTGCACGTCCTTGACGAAATGCGCACCGGCGAAACCGGACACGCGAGAATTTGGTCTCAGGCCGCTGAGAAATGTCCTGTCCTTCTGATGGGCAGTGATATCATGCGACCGGAGCTTGTTCATAGCAAAGGCTTGGAGGCCCATATCACTGAAAGAAGTGAATGGCTGGGTGGCTCCAAGCCAACTGTACTGAATAGTGGAGCTATCTGGTACACGGATGGCTTCAGAATGGATAACAGGTCAGGGGCAGGTTTTTGCGGAGGGTCCCCTAAAATTAGTAAATTCTTTTCTTTAGGGGAACACGCTACTGTCTTCCAGGCTGAAATTTTCGCTGTAATGGAGTGTGGTCGGGAAATTTTAAACCGGCGCCACAGGAATGCAGTCGTTTCAATCTGCTCCGACAGCAGAGCCGCCATCAAAGCCATTATGGCTGATACTGTGCGCTCTAAACTTGTAATGGAGTGCAAAAAAGTCCTGGGAACACTGGTGAGTGCCGGCTGCCGCGTTCGCCTCGTCTGGGTGCCTGGTCACTCGGGCGTCGCGGGCAACGACGAAGCTGATTTACTTGCCAGACAGGGATCGTCGATGCCACCTGTGGGCCCTGAGCCCACGCTGGGCATAGCTAAATGTGAGGCTGTCACGTCCCTCAAGGGTCTCCTCGCGGAGCAATTCCTTGAGAGATAGATGGAGGCACCTGTCATGAGGCAGGCTAAGGCTCATATTGATGGGCCCTCTGCCTGTCTCACCAAACAACTACTGCGCCTGAACAGACGTAAGATACGGCTAGTGACTGGTCTCCTAACCGGGCACTGGCACCTAAGACGCCATCTCCACAGCATGAGCATTACGGACGACCCGGAATGCCGCTGGTGCATGGAGGAGGAGGAGACGGCAGACCACGTCATCGGTGAGTGCCCTGCACTCACGCGCGCGAGGTTCAAGCACCTGGGCAAGTTGTATTGCTTGCTCGATGACGTCAAAAGGATGAAGCCAGGGTGCCTGATTGGCTTTTCTAAGGACATAGGCCTCTGGTAGAACTCAGTGGGGCACGACGGGTCCACCACAGGAGACCTATGTGTACTACGGTTGCGGCCGCCCACTCTTTCATTCATTCATTCATTCATATCTTCATAACAGAAAATATTCTATAATGATCACTCTAATCGCCAAAATCAATGAGCATATATTAAATTTACATTCTAATGCTGGTTAGGAGTTTTCAAATAACAAAAATATAAAAAACCGAGTGAACAGAAGGACCGCTGGCCAAATTTTTTTGACGACTTGCCGACTCAATTAAAAATCCAAGCTCGAAAGACAAATAAGAAAATCCAATTAAAAGTTTTCCAATTTTCTCCGAAAACCTTCACCCAAACTCCTCATTTTCCAGAGCATATTCATAATCTTCTAATTGTGTTAACCTTAATAAATCTCTTAAACGATAACAGTAGTTGGCAGCAAGAGTAATTGTTCGGTGATTCAATAAAGAATGTTTTAGTTGTCAACTTGATATTTGCTATCGAAATATTGAAAGTCAATATTTCACCGTGCTCACGTAATTGAAATCTGATAACTCTTTCTGATAAGGGTATAATAATAAATTTATCATCCACATAAAATAGGAATCACTAGACCATGTAACGTCGTCGCCATAAATCAGTACATCCACACCATGATAGTAAATTAAATTTGGCCAATCTCTTAAGTAGACCTGCTCAGTTGGAACATTGATAAACCGTGGTCCCATCCGATGGCAGCGAATCACTCATCTCCCCCCGAAAGGATTATTCCCCGGCCAATTTCATCGTCTAATATCGGTTTTCCAGGCAACGAAATGACCGGCGCCATCTCTCTAAAACCCGATAATTAATTTTCTGAGAACGAGCAAAATTCCATTGTATTTTAGAAAACGTGTCGGTGACATACTCGATTTGAATTTGAGGCGATAAATTGTGGTACATTTTTTGAAGCCTGTAAAAACCCACTATAATTCTGCAATTATTATTTTTTAAATTCCGTCCAGGTTTATTTTATGTAAAACAAATACGAAGCAATCAAGCGGCTCTCCGTAATAACGAACAAACAATTCTGAAAATGAAAAAATTAGGGCCGCCTTTGAAAAAAGGTGGCTTTTAAATGTTACGTGCCAAACCATAATTTCCACGAGGGAAAATTTGCATTTATTTTGTCGGTCAGATTTACCAGGCGCGTTTCGGCCTAATTATTTTTTATTTCCTTGTTTGTTGAGTAAAGAGGGAATTTTTTCCAAAAGAAAAATGAGATTATACAACTTGCGTAAATTACTTACTGATACTAAGATAAAACTGGGTGCCGATCTCGTAAGGATCCCACGTCAATCCGCGATACCTCGTTTTCTCTCTAGGAGTGCCATAGTCAGGTACTTCTTTATGAATCCCTGGAACATTTGGATCACCAGTTTTCACAAAATTGCTCACAAAATTGAGAAGAGCCTCTGATACTCCCATATCTTGCCTGGAATAGTTTTGAGGGAAATATGGTAGGCCTAGTACCAAAGGTTGACCGAAGATATATGTTAGATCTTCGCCTCGGACGCTACCTAAACGCTAAAAAAACAACAAATGCACCTTCACTCTCTTTGAAAATTATAATTCTTACCTGTGGATAATCACTATCTTTCGTTTGATACCCAAAATGAAAAAGATAAGTCTTAGCACCCCTTCGCGCATGTAAATAGGCAACTCTAACAGACGGCGCAACTGTGTGCCCGTCACTCAACGCCTCCATCGTAGAATCTCTAATATTAATTGGATGCGGTATCGGCTTGTCCCAGTCTGTATACTCGTTTCTCACAGCACTGAATATCTCATTTAAATGATACACGTAAGTGTTTCTGATATAAGTCCGTAGCACTCTGTTACGTTGGTCTTCTTCGAAACCGTACTGGATGTCGTTAGCATTGAAGTCCGCGTAGCTTTCGGTCGTCGTTATACCCAGCATCACTTCGCAAGTGATGAAGGTGTCGCTGGCGTGTTCCATGGCAAAGCCTGGATCGGTCGAATCTGAGTCGATGGGGAGGGATGGGGCTATTCGGGGCATGAAGCGGACACTGTCTAGGTGGACGTCGAGGATTGCTTGGAGAGGCCTAAAAAAAACAAAATTATATAGAAACAATTTTTGTATTGCAGAGTATGACGTATTTGAAGTTATTTTGTACGTCAATAGATGGCGCCATAGTCTACTTGAAGCTGCCTTATTGAGGCGCACCTGATTGTCAACTTTGTTTTCTTGTGGAGGTCCCTTGTAGTGACTACAGAAATTTTAATCAAGAATAACAAGTACTTATCAAAAAACAATACCAGGAGAAATCATCACTTAGACAGCACAACCAGAAACTTCAATTAAAAATTATCTGAACATCGATATCCAGAAATTATTGAAAGCCGATATTGACTAATACATTGGAAGTGACTAAAGCAAAAGTTCATGGACCTTTTTTTTAAGTGCTTTCAACAATTAACATTCCAAAGGAGCCGAAAATTTTCTAAAAGGATCAATAAATCATGCACGAGCCTATATGATGATACCCACTTAACAAACCACTTAGCGACGTCCTTGATAATTAATTAAAAGGGGACCACATACACTAATTGATCGAATGATTCAACCACGAAAAATCGAGGAGAACCAATAAAGAAATTCAAGACAATGGAGGGACCCGTGATATAAAAAGGCAGCTTTGGCAGGAGAAAATCAGTGTTCGAGAAAACCAGTGTTCGAGAAAGAACGAGTAAACTGGCAGAACTACGGCGTCAAAGACCAGTTTCGGTTGAGTAATCAAGAAACAAGTAGTGATCGAGAATCGAGAGACCTGTGTCCAGAAAGTCAGAACTACGGCGTGAAAGATTTGTCGAATTAACCGAGAGAAGAAGCACGACGTGAAATAACAGCGCGAAAATATTCGATTTTTTTTTATTAAGTGTTCATAATTAAAGTAAATTCTTTCGACCAATAAGATTTCCATGTAATTAGGTGTGGCCAGCAGTAAATATATTATTGTTAAATGTAAGTAGAGTTTTTTTTATGTTCAGCCAGAATTTGTGAAGGCAAGAGTGTGAATCGAGTCAAACTGTAAATAAAAAAAAATTACTTGGAATTATATAAATATCCTTAACAGTTAATTGATGCTTATTAGAAATCTAACGAATTTATTGTAAGATTAATTTTTACCGATGCCTGTTAATTAATAACAAGCATTAATTATTTTAATAAAATAAACTTTATTTTAATTGACCACAATATTTCTGTGTTTTACTCTCTACCCGCAAATTGGACCCACTTTAAACTGTGTCTCCACTCAGAAACTAAAGTCACCGCTCGCCAATTTAACATCTTGCCAAGTTTCTGAATTTGGGGTCTCACACCCTTTATTCTATGGGTCTCTTATCATCGAAAGTGAAATTGCGGATTACATGGGAAATATCATCCTCGTCATAGGTATAAGACGGATGCTTTAGGAAGTTAAAAAAACCTTTTGAAGTGGCAAGAAAAGGTTGAGTATTTAATTTGCTGAATATATTATTGCTAATGAATTTCTCTCTAACCTCTATCTCATATATATTAGTAAAAAAGTGGAGCCTACAAGGAGAGAAAAAGAGCGATCCTGTTCTCTACTATAAGCTACTTTCTAGCTCTTTAGTTGATGTTAGATCAGTTTTTATGTATGTTCTGTAGATGGAGCTAGTTTATCATAACAGACACTGATGTTATCGTTGCTCTCAGCAGTTTCAAGCAATATTGAGTTATTATTTCATCCAAAACACACAAAAACAATATTGATTGTATATGGCTCCACAAACATGATCGCTTCATTAAATTTCAATTCAGATCGCATCGCACTTATCTCTGTATATTATAAACTTAGAGCCAATTTCATTATATCACCGCATCGGGTATATTTATACGGTAGTTTATGCACATCTTGGAATCGCGGGGCCGTGCAAGCGGCTTCTCCGGAATCCATAAATTCCGGATTTTCGGATAAATCGTGCTGCATTTGGCAGACGATATTACTGCTTCCGCTTTTATATCCGACGCGACGCAGGATGCGAAATTGCTACTGCGGGATTTCGCGGATTGTTATCTAATTTCTGGGTTACAGATGTAGGTAGATACTGACTTTGGTTTATTATATGGTATTTGTCACTTGGCTGAGTTCGAGCAAAGAGAAAAGTATTATTGAGGACTGAATATTGCTTAGCTGCACAGTTGGAAGTATTTTCAAAATTGAGAATTAGCTGCTCCACCACTCTTTTCCCTTGTAGCACACGATTTTAATTGAATAGTGAAAAGGAAAAATATCCCAATGAGGACAGTAGTATGTCTTTTGATCTTCCTTGGTAGAAAAGTCAGAAAAGTATCGAATTTTATAGCTTCAAGATTATTATTGCTGTAACCCGAAATTGACAAATATATAGGTAAAATGTATGTTTTCCTAGATAAACACTACACTTTAAACTTATCTCTGAATCTAATCGAGTGAAACAAGTTCCCATGTGGTCGTAATAATTTATTCAAAGTTAAGGATAATCTTCTGAATACCCACGTTTCATGAGGAACCCAGATGTCAGGTAACTGATACCGCTGGAAAGAATTATGTATATTCGAAGCATGTGTGTGTGTAGCGAAGCAATGATTACATGAGCTGGATTTTTAGGATACAATAACAAATTGTATAATAATATAATTATCAAGGGTAATTACTTGGGTGAAATGTTAACTGTAAGATAGTCAAATGCTTAGTTATAATTAAGATATAGGTAGGTTAAGATAGGAGTGATTACTCAATCATTTTATTATTAAATTAATAGAGGATAGTTTAGTTCATTTCACACCCTTGATAATTAGGTTAGAAATTAGGGAATTTTTATTTTATTTACTCGACTAGGTTAGAAATTAAGAAATGAGAATAGAAAGTATATTAGGTAATTACAAAAGGGAAAGGTTTTCAATTGAAAGCGAAAATATTAAAAGTTCATTTAAGAATTTGACCACATGACTAGCGAACTCTGTTGGAGAGCCATCAAACTGGATCACAGGGTGGAGCAATTTGAATGGGAAAGGTTGAATAAACAATAAACTTGAGAACCAATGGGAAATCAACAAGAAACCAGAGGGTACTTTCAGCGAATCGCTGAAAGCTAAGAGGATTGGAGATCTTTGACTTTGTCGATTCTCGCAAGCCCGGTACTAAGAGGTAGCCAATAGGCTTCTAAAGTGGTACCCAGAGGGTGGTTCCTTTCGCTTATTTGAGCAGATGTTGAGGCCAGTTAACTTTGGTTATCGCCAATTCGCCACTAGTTTTTACTACTAGTTATCGCCGGAAATTTAAGTCGTAAAGTCTCAACGAGTTCTTGATCCGTTTCTCAACCTCTAGTTCATCTGCCGCCCGGTGTTTTAGTAAAAGTTCTCCAAAGAGGTGATTTAGTTTATTTTTGATTTCAATTCCAATAAAGTGTCAGATTTCGTTCAGATTGCCTCCGGTTCAGAAAACTATTATTTACTGCTTCAGGTCAAATTTACTTTTCAGCGTAATTTACCACAAAATTTTAAGATGTGACAGAATTATTCACGCTAGCAAAATAACAATTCTTACATAACATTTCAATTTTGTCACATTTGTGCTTCCAATTTCGCCAATTGGTCCGCTTTCTCATTGCCTTCGATCGCGTTTGTTCAATATTTCACAGTTGTGGTCTAGTTTTTCGCTGTTCAGTAGGGTGAGCCAGGAGGAGGAGAAAAAACAAAAATTGGGACACTAATTTTTATCCTACTACATTACTTGTGTCTCTTTTTCACTCATTGAATTTATAACATCGTTGTTTATTATTTTATTATTCCAGGCTCTTGATTGGCCAAACTCAGAAATTAGAAGCCCACTCAAGCACCGATGATCATGAAAATTCGAGTCATAATTTTTTTCATCCTTTATCTGTGTTCCTTTCTCACTGATTGAATTTCTTATGTCTATATTTAATATTTTTATTATTCCTGGCTCTGGACTGGTAAGACACAAACATCAAAAATTTACTCAAGCGCCGGTAATACGCACAAATTATTCAATCCTACTTTATTTGAGTCCCTCTCTTACTTATTGAATTTCTTATATTATTATTTGTTACTCTGTTATTCCCGGCGCTCGAGTAGGCTCTGTCTACCCAATTGAAAGCCTGGAATAATAAAATAACTGGAAAGTGTTTAAGAACGTTCTAAATGGATTATTGTAGTTCTAAAGTGTATCTTAGCTTCAAGAGTTCTAGAGTGAGTATTTTACAAGTTTCCAAATTGTTCTGAAAGATTTTTAAGTATTTTAGAGCCCCATTGTAGCTCCAAAATGTTCTAAATTGGTTCAAAAGAGTTCTAAAAGGTTTCCAGTTCTAGATTGAATCCTAATTGTTCTAAAATAACTCTGACATTTTTAGATTCTGGTGGTTTTCAGAATGTTTCTAGAGATTCTAGATTGTTTGAGTGTTTCAGAGCATCCTATTATGGGTTTCAAATTTCTAAATGCTTTTGGAAATTGTTTCCAAAATCTTCGAAAGCACTACAGAATTTCGAGTGTTTTGAACTTTCCAAATGGCTTATTAAAGTTCTAAAGTGTTCTGTAGTATTGTAAATGGTTTCCAGTATCGTCTAAATTGGAATTCAAGACGTCTTTCTTCGGTTTTTAGACGTTCAGACGTAATGTAGACGTGAAAAAGACTTCTTCAAGACTTTGTGAGCTGTTTGTGTATGATATTAGGAAAATTGAATCCATTCTTACTGTCCACTTGCTCGAAATTTTTCCGAACAATTCGCTTGCAGCTTGAGCTTCTTCATCCAATTGTTCAAAGATTTTGTCCCTATTAATTGCCTCGTTTTCCCTCATGTCCACTTTCCTCGAATCGTACGCTATTCGCACGTTCGTTATGTACTCTTTGCCTTCGTGCAGAAACTTTTCCAAAAGTTCCTCGCTTTGGTTGAGCTGCGTTTGAATTTCTTGGAACTCTTCTGGCTCGACGTGCTTCTTTTCTTCTGCTTCCAGACTCACTTTATTATAAGTAATAAATGGAGCCAAGTTACCGCACTTATTTTCAAGTGGAAAAT